CTCTCCCCAGCGCCGTGTGCCTTCTGAGCCCGGTGCCTTCTGCCTGAGGGGAGGCAGAATGCGTCCGCCCGCCGCCCAGCAGGGCCCAGGCCTTTCTGAGGCAGCTGGCTCACCCTGCTGCTGAGCTCCGTGTGAAACGGGAGGTTTCCTGTGGCTGCCTGTCTCTGAAAGCGAGGGAATTCAGCCGGGCTCACCTGACTTACTCTGCTCCCCTGCCCCTTTCGAGACTCGCTGTGCATCCACCGGGACTGTGTTGTTCATGCGATGGCTGAAATCCTCCTGTAGTCACACAGTTCTGCTGCAGCACGTAGTAGAAAAAGAAAACAGAAACGAAGCAAAACCCTAGCACAATATCTGTCCAGTGGGCTAAAAGGTTGCACGTGGCTAAAGGATCTTCTCTTCCTTTCCTTGAGTTTCTTAGCCGTTCACTCTGTGCTAGAAAAATGTGACTTTATTTGTGTGAAGCCATAAGCAAACACCGGACAGAACATCATGTTACCTGTGTTATAGCAATTAAAAACATCGTGTAAATGTTGCCTGTCTCAAAATTTAAGATCTTTTGGCAGAGCAGTTAGTTGCCTCCCAGAGGAGTTGCTCTTTGGTTTACTACGCAGCTATTTTTAATGCGTACATTCACTTACTTGTCTCGCTGTCTCTTGGCATTCTGTTTGTACCACCGCTCACCAGAGTGGTGCCCGAATGCTGTGGTATTGCGGTGCCTGGGCGCTTTCAGAGGAGCGCGTTACAACATGGAGGCAGAGCAGACGTCCATCTGCACCGCTGCGGCTCAGCGCTGCTTCTTTTGCCCCCCTTGGTGACCAAGTCTTGAGGCAAAAGCATAAAGGTTCCACTCCGTATACCTTGGCCTGGACAAGCTTTTCCAAAACACAGTTTTATCCGTATCGCATGACCTTCTCCTCTTTTTCCCGGTGGTTCCGCAGGGCGGGGGTTGCCTTGTGCGAGCAGATGTGTTTATAGCACTCCTGGAAGGGAGGGAGGGGACGGCTCCATTTACCGGTGGGGGCTGGGGGCAGAAGGTTGGCTGGGATCACAGAACTGCCCTGAAGAAACAGGTCCAGATAAAGCAAGGATTTCTTTCTCTCTGTGTCTCCTGTGGTCAGTCCTTCTTGCTGTTCCCAAATCTGATTTTCAGGGTGTTTTGCCCCAGCATAACGGCAGGGTTATTTGAGGGAGGGCTGACTTCAGCTGGTGACAGCAGTTGCTTCGTGCTGGCTGGGAGGGTTTGTTGGAGGAGAGCGGAGCAGGGGAAGGCCCGGCTCTTTCTCCACTGTTGCTTTCCGTTTTAGGGGAGCAATGATGAAATGTCAGACAATGAAGAGGAGATTGAGGAGAAATCTGAGAGCGAAGGGAGCGACTATTCCCCCAACAAAAAGAAGAAGAAAAAACTGAAGGACAAAAAGGAGAAAAAACCAAAACGGAAAAAGAAGGATGAAGAAGAGGATGACAACGAGGATGGAGGTCTAAAGGTACCAGAGATTCCTTTACCCCGAGCTGGTGCTAGAGCATGATTGCTCAGGGTGTGGCCAGATCCCTGCGAGTTACCTCCTTCAGAGCCGGGCCGTGTTTTCTGGCCATTCACCTTGCGCTGGTGAATAATTTCCATTTGTATAAAGCACGGCAGTGTAAGCAAAGCGTTCCCTGGCGGGCTGGGGATTTAGCCACATGGCAAGGTGCGCTCACAAGTCCTCACGGTACCTTTCATGGTGATGAAGCCAGTGTGTTTTACCCTGAGGCCGGAGGCCTAGTCCGGTAGCTTGGATCTTCTGACAAATGGCAGCTTCTCAGTCCGAGGCAGCTTGCCTTCTTGGATTGTCCGCCCACATCCTGCCAGTAACAGATTCATCACATCTGTCCTCAACACGAGGGCAGAGAGTGGCAGAGCGGCTCGTGCTTAGAGAAGCTGGCCTGGGGGTTTCATGAGATGCTTGTCCTGGGTTTGGCGAGGAAGAGATTGCAGGTGAACAACTGGGAGAGGAAAGGTTGTATTTCCCTGTTGTTTATCTTGCGCGCAGAGAGAAATTGAGTTTCTTGGAGATGTGAAACCTGCCGAGGCTTTGCGTCGTATTGCGTGGTATGGGGAGCATTTGGATGGTGCCACGTTAATTTGCTCCTTGGAAGTGTGTGAAGCGTTAGTTTATTAAGCATTTGTGCATGCTCTTTTTTTTATATCACAGAAACAAATCCCTGCGTGTCGCTGACTCAGGAGAGTGTTTGATACGGAGGACACGACGGACCCAGCCTTGCGCTGCTTGTCTGCAGAGCTGTGGTCGTTTAGGTTAATGATATCTCTCTGTAAATCTACAGGAGCCCAAGAGCTCAGCCCAGCTGATGGAAGAATGGGGCCTTGATGACGTAGATTACGTTTTCTCAGAAGAAGATTATCATACTCTGACTAATTACAAGGCTTTCAGCCAGTTTCTCAGGTAGGAAACTGTAGGTCTGGATGCGGCCTTGGGTAGTGGCTGAGATTTGGGCGTTGCTCAGTCAAGTGGGTGAAGTTGTGAAGTAAATTCTGCACTGCGAGCTCCTTGTTGCTCCTCCGTGCCTGACTCGGTTCTCAGGACTCCGTCTTAATTGCAGGTTTGACTGGGAAACAGCTGGAGTGTTTCTCTCTCCTCTCCCTCTCTCCAAACCCCCATTTTTTGTGTATGCTTATTTGAAAAGTTTCTTGAGAAAAATTGAGTAACGTTAACGAATTTTTGCTTGTACTGCGAGCCTTTCAAAACACAACAGGCATTTCAGGGAAAGGCGGTCTCTGAGGAGGTTTAAGTGTGCTCCTTTACGTATATTTACTTGTTTAAGAAAGCTCTGGTTTCTGCTGCCTTTCAAGTGAGCTGCTACCAGTGGGCCACCGCAGCCTGCTGCTGTCAGGCATGCGCCACCGGTGCATTTCTTGGGCTGAAGTACCAGCACACGACGAGCAGGAGCAGACGCACAGTGAAGCGTTTCTGTTAATGTGTGGTTTTCTCTCTCCCCGGCCCTGCAGGCCTCTGATCGCCAAGAAGAACCCCAAGATCCCCATGTCCAAGATGATGACCGTGCTCGGCGCCAAGTGGCGAGAGTTCAGTGCCAACAACCCGTTCAAGGGCAGCTCGGCAGCAGCGGCGGGGGCAGCCCTTTCGCGCGCCG